TGCTAAGAGTACATTCACAGGAAAATAATTTGATAAAAGGAGCCACCCATTGATGACACTTTCTATGGTTATTCTTACTTTCTTTATTAGGCTGAATAATAATTTCTTGAGGAATATCGGATTGAAAATCTTTTTTTTTTTTGACCTTTTTCCTTCAACTGAGAAACATYGTAAAATTATCAAATTATAATAAAATATAATGATAGTTGATGTTGATACCATATATTCACATCAATTGAGTTTAATAAACCGAGTGTTAGTTTAATACATAGAAAGTATAATAACTGTGGTTGTGGGTTTTTCACTGTTTTTGTATAAATTTTTTTATAAATAAACCAATACATTTCGGTGATCTTCGTTGCGATTACTGAAACAGTGAAACACCAATCGGTCACCTAATTCACTGGACTTTCTCATAAGAAATAATATTATTTTYGTAGAACTACTCGYATTTGTTCGTATTAGTATACATAGTATACATTTTCTACATTTATTTTGAACGTGTCACTGTATTAAAAATCAAAAAAAAATCATCACTTGGGAACTGCAGCTTAAATACTCCTCTAAAAATTTGGTTTTATGCAAAATTTCTCCAATATTAACTATAAATAAACTGTATTATGAATCCGGTTTGAAGTATGATATGCGTGTGTAATAGTGTAATACAGGGACAACACTGCGGTTGAATCGTTTTCCTAATTACCACCTTATTATAATAATTAAATAAAACTCACACAGGAAAAATAATATCCAAGTATGTTTTTTTATAATCAAAAACGTGTTTTAGTATATAGTTAATTAATTAATACTTAAAGCATGGTGCACTAAACCATTTATTTACAAAGTAAAGTTTTGTATATACCTACTGTGTTAGTGTATTGTATAAATGTATAATGCACGTATAAAATTTATTTATATGCCACCCATTTCATTATAAACGCTGAAATGTAATATCAACTTTATATAATTCCTAATTGTTCAATCAAGTTGTTAAAACTAATTCAATTCTTACACTATGAATACTATTGGCTTTATTTATAACTATTCGAAATCCTAGGTGCAAGATTGACATTAGAGATAATTTTTTATTATAAATTATAATGTTTTAAATATTCTCCTGTTAATATTTCAACACGATTGTAAGAATCAAATTAAAAATAATAAAATATGTAGAATACTGAATAGTTAATAAATTATAATATAATTTATACTTATTGGCTAGCTATCACAGAAAAAATGTAAAACTTACCATATCACTACATAGAAGCGAACCAACTACAACACAATAGTATACTGTATAAAATTCTATACGAACTGTTAATCTATATCTGCAGGAATATATTATTTTGAATGTTTGATAAATTTGAACGATTTTGCGTGACATACATTAACGTTCGTAAGTACATCATAACTGAAGCATATTAATATAGGTATTATACGACTGCATTTATGTTTGTTTTTTTACTTTTATACTTGTATGATTACGAATTACGATACCACATATGTTTGCAGGTGGATCAAATTTATCTCTGAAAAATTATTTTTAAATAATATTTACGTAATTATAAACGGTAATTTCTTCATTTTTATATGACTCTAATATAAGCACATAAAGCATTAATAATAAACGCTAATGATTTACGTAGAGAACATATTTCAATTAATTATTATTCTTCAAACTCAATACGGATTATCATTTAAACTTTTCTGTTACACATTATTATTTAAATACCACTTTGGTTATACTTTTTTAATGTACAAGTAAATGTCTTGATCGTATTGGTTTAATCATAAATATTATACTTTTAGCTTAATGTTTTAAATCTCTTGCTTTTTACTAAGTTAAGTTGAAATACTATTAAAGTTTAAAATAATTAATTAAAATCAAAAACTTATCAACCTATAAGTTGGTATTACAATCATTAATTTGTTATACTTATTCGATATGTCCGCCAACACTATTGTAAGGTCATTGCAAGGGAAAATCATATTTAAAATTTTATATAGATTTTCTAGCCTCACTATAGCCACTCATCACTGGTATAAATAGGTAGATACTTTAGTACCTATATAGAATAAAATGCGAACAACTTCTTAAATACCTTCGAGATGTATACTTTATGTTCTAGACGTGATAACATTTTCAAATTTGAAATCAATAATACGCATTCCTATTGCGCATCACTCAGGATCTAAATGTGTTACAAATGTAGCGTGCCAAATTTAGCTGTACAAGAATAGTAGATCAAAAATGTAACTGTAGAATTAGAACAACTAGTAGTCGTCTGTAAATTAATAATCTTATTACTAATTATCCGAATTCAAAAGAAAAGAATAATTACTTCTGAATAAACCYAGTTGGTAAAGGTTAGGTTAGGTAAGTACCTAAACATTTTTTTTTTTGGACAATAATATTTAAAATGTTCTGACCTATTAATAGCCATCATTAATCTCTCGATCAATGACCTATACTGTCTTGTACTGATAGCTTTAAAATACATGGTATTGCTTTTGTAGAGAGTAAAATATAAGAAACATTTAATACTTCAATAGGTATTATTGTTATTTAGTTATTATATTATTATTATTATTATTATTATTATTATATTGTTTGCATTTAATATTTACTATCTATCATCGTTTATTGATATCGTGCTATTATCTGAATTATGCATTCAAAAAATGCATGTATAATCCTAAATATTAGGTACATACATATTTTATAAGATAGTCAAAATTTGTGCGTTAAGTTAATATAGGTATCACATTGATTCAAAGCACCTGCTTATCCTTATCCATATTTGACAGCTTATTTAAATTGATAATTTTAAATGGTTTATTTGGTTATTTGGTTTATTTCTGAGAATAAAAGCCGTATGAATTTAGCGCGCCACACATTTTAGCGCATTTATGGTAATACGTTAGATGAGTTTGACGATTCACTTACCGTCTAGTGAGGTTGAACATGGTTTTGTAGAGCTCATATCTTAGTCTCACCAGATTTTATAAACTTTGCTGAGTACCTATACACTTGACAATTACGTACCTATTTGAAATTTCATGACTTCTCAAATTTTGGCTGAAGAGCATTTTTCATACCTAAGAAAAACCAATGGTCCGGAGCCCCGGAATCTTTCCATTCAGATTATAACCAACAATTGTATAACAACATTCAAATCACCGAAATATTATAAATATATTGATCAAAATTCAAGCGGAGACTAATTTATAAAATAAACATCATTGAAAAAAAAAATAATAAATTAATTAAGAAAAGAAATTTAAGAAAAATTAAAATKTGTACGCAAATGTTAGGAAACTTTTTCTTTCAGATTTAATTCAAATATATGAAATTACAAAAAAATAATTAATCACATAAAAATAATAGAGTAGGTATATCAGAAATTTAAAATACCCATAAAAATAAAATTATGAAATTAGAAAAAAAAATGTATAAATATTTTTGGAATACTATTGAGCTAACTTTGGTGTTTTCGGGGTGATGCTACTAGACTTTAAATTAGTATTTATAATATACAAATATATGGAAAGAAATATGTGTGCCAAAACGTTCTATTAAAAAGAGAAATATTATGCCCAAACATTGTATGAATTTACCCCCAAAAGTATTTTGTTTTGGGTAAATGCACCCATATATTTTAAACGATTATGATMAAATAGTTTTGGGCGTTTCAAATTAATTTACTAAGATACTTTAATACGTATATTATTTATTTTTTACGCATACACCATGATGTTGATGACTTGATCATAATTGGATATCGGATAGCCTGTTAATAATTTTACGATTTATAAAACAACAAACGTATTGTATTTTATATTACACGGATATAATATACATTACAAGAACAATTTTATCAACAATGTACACATTGTGTATAGTTTCATGGTCGTATATTTATTATTCATAGTAAGCTAGTAGGTATATTGGTAAATATCTAGATAACTATCAAGTATTGTTTTGTGACGTGCAATTTTTCAAATTGTTTTCACATATTAAATTAGTATAAAAATTATAATTAATATTCAAGATCAAAACGAAAATAAAACATATAATATGATTTATGTTGATCAAATTACAAAAATCGTAAACTATATATGGATAAATCAAACAGAAATTAATACCACTATATTATATTAAATTCGTACAAACGAAAGCGTTTTAAATTTAAAAACGTCATAATATGGTTAATTTTAAGATATATGTATAGCCGTATGGGTATATAATATTACAATATGTATAATCACGATGTCATATACATATTATACGTTTTAAATTGTCGACTGCAGTGCGTCATCGTGACTGTATTACGCTCAGCGGGCATTCTGATTGTCGTGTCGCTACGTGAGGTCCAATTAACGTTTAAATATAGTGTAAATGCCCATAGTAAGAAGAATGATAATAATATGAGTACACAATGTTGTAGCGCATTGTATGCGGCGAGATTATTGTCGTCAAGAGTTAATAATTTGAAAATGTAAAATCATAAAATCATAAAATCCCCTATACAAGTGATTTAAACACACACACACACACACACACACACACACAACATTATATACTCATATAATGCTATTAATACAGTGATGATGCGTGCACCAGTCAAGATCTGTGGTCTGCTCTCTGCTAATTGGACGCCAAGGACGTGTTAGGCTTATATTATTGTATGTATTATAGTGGCGCGGGTGCATTATACAATCATTTTATTTCTCGTTTGTTGAAACCGATTGGACCAGTCGCGTGACTCGAAATCGGTGCGAATGCCTCCACAGCGCGCCGACTGCTATAAATACTCGCGACACCTGTGCGCTCACGTTCAGTGATCGTCAGACGGCCAAAACAAAAATTTCTGAACTTCAGCTAGCCTTATACCTTTATTTAAAAGTGTCGTGATTTAAGTACATATATATATTATATTATATTATTTGGAATCAGACCTGAACCGCAGTCGGCTTTACMACATAAAATTATGTCTCTGATTTTCGACAAAAAATACAAGCTGGAGTCCAGCAACAAATTCGACGAATACATGAAAGCTCTTGGTAAGTCATCATTCATCAATCTACATAATATTATCTATCGGCAAAAAAGCGTACGCATATACCTAAAATAAATACACCTTGATCGACTGATCGTATAGTGACTCATGAGTACCACCTATCCGTTGACGCGTTCTATAGACGTGTTTAACGTTTAATATTAAACCTATAATGTCCTATAATATACCATAATAGTCTATAATAACACCTTTTTATAAAAAATGAATGAGTATGAAATTATGTTTCAATATATCGTTAAATTTAAATAACTGTAGCCATCGTCATCCTCGACCAGGGGTTTTAATTTAATGAATTGAGAACAAAAGTTGTTGTAGTTTTGATTTTTGTATTGTTTTACGTATAAAAAACTCGTTTGGAACATTTGATATCAAACGCAGACAGATTTGATATTAGACATACTTTTTACACATGATTTTTGTTAGTTAAAATATTATTGTACGTACTGGTACCTACAGCATATTATTTTAGTCAGTACAAAAGCGTGAAAAAATATATTTGTTTTTCAAACTGCACTTTATTAAATTAAATGCGCTTAATGCACTTATGCTTTATAGTAGGTTTAAGTGAACTACATTATTTATTACGTATTGTTTTGCAATTGGTGAAGGAATCGAAGCAAGTCAAGTGTGGTTTTCTGAAGATTGTGTAATATTTTTCGATGAAAAAATACTACCTAATTTAAAATTTAAATATCGTTTCAAATGTTTTAATAGAATATTTTTCTAAAAATAATATCTTGTCTATGTGTTTATTATATTATATAGTAAAACAATTTAATATATACTATATACATTACCTAGGTGACTAGGTAGGTATACCAAAAAATGTATTTGAAGGACTTGATAATTTAAACGACTTGTAAAAGTGTAACAATTAATATTATGACCAGTCATCAATTTTTCACACACTTAATTTGCGTTAACTCCCTTTAATTTTTTACCAAAAGCGTTATACTTTATAGTAACCAAAAATATATATTTTTATGTTAACCATCGTACTATATGATACTTAAGTAATATTATATCATTGTCCATTTTATCCATAATTCATAAATCACTGTTATTTTATTAAATTACATTAAGTACAACATAATACGTGTGCTATTTAATGTAATAGTTTATTAGTATATCTACTTACCTAGCGGCTAACTTGTAATTACGAATCGAAGAACGGAGTGGATTTTAAAAAATTATATTAATACGTATAATATACTATATAATCAATGATCATTACATTTTATGATAAATATTCAATGGTATTATTTATAAATATTCTGTATGATTGCATTTTACTCTGCACTTAACGCTTGGGCGTTGGACCTATAGGTAGTAATAACACCGTATCATTATTATATACTTTATAGTTTATATTATAATAATAGACTAAAACAACTAGTTTTAAGTTTCAAAAGGTTTCACCAGCTGATTTCTGGTAGAGGTAGGTAATATATATATTATATATATATATATATATATCCTACACTCCTACATAATTTAATCAATGAGTTTATTTACTTTTTATGGTTAATGAAAATTAATAAATTAGTTTTGAATTAATATCAATAATTTCTCTTGTTTAACTTAATTATAATGAATTTTAAATATCTGAATTAATAATAATCCTAAGATAAGAACAAAAAAAAAAAAAACATATCATTGTTGTACACCAGAATCTAAAAATGAATTATTAAATTATTGATGCAATTAAACTTGATATAATATGAATCAATAACCACATAAAACAAAAAAAAAATTAATAATTGTCATTAAATAGTCTGTACCAATGCCCAATATCAATAATACATTTGTATATTATATACGTAATACAATTATATCTAATTTCAGTTTAGTTTAACACACTTAAGTAAAAAATGGATGGTAGAATAACATATTTAAAAAGCTTTAATTTTTATCATAACGATTGCCGATTATATTTGATGTTAATTATCTTGTCTGAGTATCGGACACACTAAAGTAGTTTATGAAAATAGATGAAACTCATTCAAAAATAAAATACACATTGATGGTCATGGCCATAATTTATAGTCAAAACATATGTGTCTCAACATTGTTTTCACAATCTCACGGAAATGTGTATATACCGCTAACGTCCTTCAATACTATTTATGTTTTACTTTCTACTGTTTATGAAACTGTCACAACATTGACATTGATGTAATAGACAATATTTCTRTCGACAATTTCGAAGACCATCTTTGATTACAAAAATATGCATATAAACTAATTTCTACATCAAGTTACCTATAAATACTRTTACCTAGATACTATAGATATTATTGATCTATATATTTTGATAATTTTTAYAGACAATTGTTGTTACAGTTATATATAGGTAATAATTAGGTACACTTATTAAGTATACTTTTTAATTGGTACATTATGCTTTTGTCATTGCTCAAAGTTATTCAGGAAAAAGTGTATTGAGAAATATAAATGTCTTTAATAGGACCAATATTGTATTWTTTTTTCGTCAGCAATTTGATTGTATTTATACAATTTATATATTTTTATACTATGCATATATACAATAAAATTGCGTCATACATCAATATATATTATTATATCGTTATTTATTGTATTTTACAATATGATACTGGCTTTTATTTGCCAAGATAGGTATAGTGTTGATAAAATGGAATGTATAATATTGTTTTGGCACACTTTGCACTCAAGTCCAATATGTGCCTATATAATTGTGTGACCATCGGTTAAGTTACGAAAACGATTACGAGATAGGTATTATGATTATATATCTTATTATAATTCATTATTAATTATAGTAATGATAATTAACGCACTGATTGACAGACACGTGAACTTGCTATACATAGTTTACAATATAATTATTGTAATCGAACCGTTTATGGGAAATAATTTGTTAATTCGAATATTAGTACAACACGGTGATTTATATAAATYATAAAAATCTCTGCAGGCATTGGCGTGCATACGTATTATAATATGTATATACTATATTATATTGGCCTTTGAACTGTTGTGCGTATGCGTGAGTGCACTTAGTACTCGCACCGCTCACGACGACCATGGACCATCGAACGAGAAGCGTCCGCAAAGTGCGATGATGATAAATTGTTATTGTTATATTATGATTATAATAGCATTGTTATTATAATAATATGATACTCATATTACTAAAAAAAAAACTGTTATCAGTGTGTTATCACTGCAGTTGAAAATGGGGAATCGGCCGGGAAGACGTCTTTGCGCAGATGAAATGGGACCGACGACGGTTAGATGATGATAATGCATAACAACAAATGATATTGTAACGTACGCTGCGTAGTAGTGAAACCGACAACGCTCTCCGTCAGTATACATATATTATATGCTCTTATATCGCTCTGCACACGATACACCGCACCGGTAGACCGGCTCGCTCGCACATTCGTTTTTCGTCTCTCGTCTGCAGCAGTAGTTGCGTGCCTACCTACCTACCTGACAATAAGGCTGTGTAAAAGTACCCGAGTCCTCGTCTTCGTCGTTCGATTTTATTTTATTTGTTACCCACCCGCGATCATGGAAGCTTTCTTGAACAAAAAATACAAGCTAAACTCCAGCGAAAAGTTTGACGAGTACATGAAAGCTTTGGGTAAGATTATTTCGTATACACCATGTACATATACACTATCTTTAGTATTTATTACTACCACTACTTTTAATAATACCTATACCTATTTTTATATCGTGATATTAATTATTATCACTTATCGTGGCTTATTTACTACTACCTACGCTTTTCACACACCGGCTGTTGTTTTTTAAATTGCATCGTATTAATATACACATTTTAATTTAAATACCGAATACAGATATTACAGGAACGTCGTGTGTACGCGCGGTTAACGACTATGCGTTTTCAGTGCATTACCGGTAGGAATACCTACCCGAATACTATGTCGTCATGACGGATGTACCTATACAATATTGTATACTAACCTATAGCTAGGTAGTCATCAAAATTCACGCGAGCAACACGTTTTAGAGATTTAAATATTTAACTGCATAATATTACATACTATTTACTATCATTAACGTATACGACAGGCGTGAGACGTATAAAACGATATTTCAATATTATTATTATTATTATTATTATTATTATTATTATTATAGGTAGCTACTCTACCGATCGTTTCTCTTCGGCCGCGCTCGTTTTAACGATTACGGTGACTGTGTCTATATACACGCACGCACGCCATCACCGCGTACGCCCCCCGCCACCCAACCACTCATAAAACCCCGAAGTTCCGCTACGGCTGTAAGTAGGTCACGAGAACACCAGGTTTCGGTGATAAATTTTCCAAAAACCATCTTGCTTGCTGCACGGCAGCACGATGCAGACGTACCAGGGATTTCGATTCCGGATAGCGTTAAACCGGCGAGCTGCAGACGTTCAAAAATACGACTAATGYACATTATTACGTAAAACAATATTAACAACCATAATATTATATATCATACCTTTTTAAAATTTCGATAATAAGCCACATTCTACAACTCACCTTTTTTTCACTCCAATCAACATAGCGTTTTTCTGTTTAAATATATAATACATGAAAAACATTCAATAATAATAATAATATGTTAAATTTTCATTTTACTTTAATCACGCGTTTTTCAATCACAAGTTTCAAAAACATTTTTTGCTCTCCACGGGCGTAAACATTGGATCGGCGAATTTATTCTCAATATGTATGTAATACTTTGTATCTAAAATATAATATTGAGCGGCGGCGACCCTTAAGTAATAAATTCAATGTATTACGTGACCATAGTATTTTATAAAATATCAAGAGTGTTTCTTCATCGCCATTTTCGTCAAATAAAAATAGTTATATTGCCATTACATTATTACAATGGTCAATGTACTATTAGTATATTATTACGGGACGTAAGAAGTAATAGGCAAATAAACAACCCGATAGTCTACGGCTCAACGCCCCGTGCTTCTATATAATAATATGTTTGATTTAGTTTTGCACAGTTGAATAACTATTTTACCAATGGTCCACCACTAATATGAGAACGTTATGAAATTKTATGCGCATTTTTTATTGTGTTAAGACTTTAACATATAGGGTTATTATCTTGTTTTTGGCTTAGATATACATAGTAATATAATTTACTTACATTAAATATTCATGAAATGTTGTTATTCKTTGTAGGTATGTTAATAATAATTTGGTGCATGGTTTATTCAAAATAATTTCTATACGATTATATATAATATACAGAGTGTAACAGAAAGACCTGACCAAAAATAAAAATAAAAAAATATGCAAATTATACGTACTATGACAAAAATTGATAATATTATATGATAAGTAAATAATTTAAGAAATATACTCATGTCAGCGAATCTCAATAAAAGTCATTTATCCAAAAAAAAAAAATGTTATTARATAAATTTTTTTTATTTTCAGTACTAAAAAATGTATTATACATGTAGCGCTAGGGTCACAAAAAAAARTATTAATTTGAACAAAAGTTATTCCAAAAGTCAGTTCTATATTTGTTACACCTTGTATAGTAGGTATATTAATCTGTCGGCATATATGTCTCGTGACATAAATTATACATTATATATATTTCATAATTTTTACTACTTAATTATATTGTAACTATAAAATTATTAATTATTAATTTTTAAACTAATTATAAAGTGTTTTAAATTTAAACAAATTCATTACTGCTGTATGATTATAATTATAATATTATAACAAAACTTGCTGTTTCAATTGGTTTATTTTGTGTATAGCGCGTAAAATTTAACAATCATTCTATAAAATAGTATCAACTAAAGTTTAAAGTTTCTTCTATATTTGTATTGATTGTAGGTATATCATAATATAATTTATAATATAGACCTTATATTTCAATTTGATTGTAAAATATTCAATTGAGTATATCAAAATTTATAAAACAATAAATATTAACACTATACCTAATAGTAATAATAGTAATATGCATATAAAATGCTATATTTATCTTTATTAATTTATCAATTTTATATGATTATAGGAATGGCATCAAAACGCAATGACWCCAGGGTAATGAGTAGCTTTTTTTCTAAAATCCAAGTAGCTTTTTTTTATTAAGTAATTAATTTATACATAGATATTAGATTTTGGTATATTTTTTCGGGTTAGCAGAAATAACAGAATATATATATACCAATGCTCAACAGCCGAAAGTTGTATACATTATTCTTCTGTATCTAAAGGTACAATAGGTACATTACAATTACCGATTAGCGATTAAACGAAAACAACTATTCTTTCTATTATACATGTTGTATAAACTTTTTTTCAATAATTATTTTAGGATAACAATAATTACGTACACAATTGATAGTAAATAATAATTTAGGTACACAAAATACAAAGCTCAGTTTAAATAGTATTAGATTTGCTGCAAATGAAAAATATGATTTATTTTCTGTGGTATCGTATATTCTTGTGGCTTTTTGCGTCGATTCTTGCCGGTTACTACAGTTTGGGAACCTCTTTTATAACAGAGAGTGTATACTGTCGAGCTATTGCAATGTAGGTACATGGTAAATTGTTAATATGTAATTGTGAATGCATTCTATACGCATAACTTGAATTCATTCATGTGTCGCTTATTGTGGTGTGAATTGTCTATTTAATTGTATATTAACTAATATTAAATTACCCATAATATTCAACGGTRCCCCATCTAATCAAAACATTATAATTCAATTTTAGTTAGAGTTAAAAATGATTTAGGAAAAATTAAGAATATTTGTTATATGAATAGTGTTTACTGCCTACAGGCTTAATATATTATGTATAATGTATATATATAATTATATGAATATTAGTACGTACATAATTTAACTACTGATTTTTTTTTCGTTATTRGCCTAAAATAAAAATAAAATAGTTTCTAATTTGTACTTTGGATCCGAACCTTAATAAACAGGGAACGCGGTCATTGCCCACTGGTGAAATTATTTTACCGAAACGAAGAAAGCGCATTATTGTTATTACACCAGAACTCACAAACACCCATTTTTTTTCCATTACGTAGGTAAAATTATAAATTTTCTCATAATATACACATTGTTATTGTTCCAAATAATGCAAAAAAAATATCATTAAAATGCAAATTATCGTTTCTAATATTATTATCTGTTTATACGTAGGGGTACTTGTTAGTTGCTAGTACGTGACCAATCAACTGTTTTCCTTCTGTGTTATATTTTTCTACTTAGAAACATAATACCTATATGTTTTTGCCTATTGGATTCCGTTCAAAATATGAAATATTTAGAAAAATTATTAGTATCACCTACGTGATATATGTTTAAACTTACCTAATTGTTATGGATAAAACATGAATATATAAATTATATAGTTACCAACAAAATTCATACCACGGGTTTTAGTTTATGAAAAATATTTATCTATTAATGAAAATATTATGTTTATCTATTGTACATTTAAGCCTTTAACAATTATTACATAAATAATAGTTGGCAAGTTTTTGATTTAGAAACAAAATAAGTCATATTAATATTTTGATTTGACAACGGAAAATATTTACTCTTACATTAATATACTAAATACTTATTATAATAATGTGACGTATAAGAATTATTCAATATTTGATTTATAAAAGTAAATATTTTTACTTTATTTNGCCTAAAATAAAAATAAAATAGTTTCTAATTTGTACTTTGGATCCGAACCTTAATAAACAGGGAACGCGGTCATTGCCCACTGGTGAAATTATTTTACCGAAACGAAGAAAGCGCATTATTGTTATTACACCAGAACTCACAAACACCCATTTTTTTTCCATTACGTAGGTAAAATTATAAATTTTCTCATAATATACACATTGTTATTGTTCCAAATAATGCAAAAAAAATATCATTAAAATGCAAATTATCGTTTCTAATATTATTATCTGTTTATACGTAGGGGTACTTGTTAGTTGCTAGTACGTGACCAATCAACTGTTTTCCTTCTGTGTTATATTTTTCTACTTAGAAACATAATACCTATATGTTTTTGCCTATTGGATTCCGTTCAAAATATGAAATATTTAGAAAAATTATTAGTATCACCTACGTGATATATGTTTAAACTTACCTAATTGTTATGGATAAAACATGAATATATAAATTATATAGTTACCAACAAAATTCATACCACGGGTTTTAGTTTATGAAAAATATTTATCTATTAATGAAAATATTATGTTTATCTATTGTACATTTAAGCCTTTAACAATTATTACATAAATAATAGTTGGCAAGTTTTTGATTTAGAAACAAAATAAGTCATATTAATATTTTGATTTGACAACGGAAAATATTTACTCTTACATTAATATACTAAATACTTATTATAATAATGTGACGTATAAGAATTATTCAATATTTGATTTATAAAAGTAAATATTTTTACTTTATTTTATCATTGTATTATAGTTTGTACATTTTAATAATAATAATACCTAATATATAATATAATATTATTATATTTTATAATGAGTTTATATCAAGCAATCTAAATGTTGAACATCATACTATACTTAAAACAATCAAATGACTACGAACACATATACACGTTGAGAATGTTAATAAATATACAAATCACATGGTATAAACATCTAAACTAGTTAGTAGTTTGTACCGAGCGTCTTATAACTTTGAAGTTGTAGAATATAGATGAGAAATATTTTATGACTACGTCATTAATATATTATTCTCAACGGGACTCAGCTTAATCGGTTTTATTTGTACAATAATTAGTCTTATCGAGATAAAATCGTCAAATAAATTATTTTTTTCATCGTTAAGAACGGAGTATTGTTATTCATTAAGCAGTTACCTCTTTACCTACTATAACTATTTAAATTATACTCGCTTCTGAAGCGTTGTATCATGCACATGATTTCTAGTTTTAGAACGAAATGAACTATATCCAGACTATACTTAATATCAAAAATAATTCTTGTATTAATTACATATTATATACTATTATATAGGTACCTATGATATATTATACGTTTCTTAATAAAGTTATCATCGATCTGGTTATGCGTATTTTTTTTTTTGGAAGTTATTAAGTTGTTTATCCAAAATTAATAATTCTACCACTATTTTTGACTAATTACTATAAATCCACAATGCTGGCTGTTACTAGAGCGGCCCATATTACGCCACTAACACATTAACAAATGCACTTAGAAATTATGTGCATTATGTGCATATTATATTAGATGACATATTATTCTATTCCATAGAACTTTTTATGTATAATA